GCACGCTGGGGAGGTAATCGATCTCATGTGGTTTATTTACATCCGTTATTGAAATTCACTTTTCGCTCTGCCTTTGTTTTATGAATTGGCTTTGTGCACCGCCCCGAATCCCCGACCGAATCCCTCCTCGTATTGATGACAATTGCAGTTTTTGGCATGCAGCTGGGCACATTTACATCCGCTTGTTGTGTGCGCCTTTTAACAACAGATTTTTTCGCTTCGCTTTTCCTTGCTGTCTTTCCTACTTGTTTCAGGTCCTCGGCTCTTTGTTTTTTTAAGGAATATCCGTTTTTTATTTGCATCGGGCGGAAGTGAAATGCTTCCCGGTGCATTAATTTTTCAGTTTGGCAAATGATTTGGGAAATGATAACTGCATTTTTAATTGGCGAAGCATTGGCTGTAAAAAGTTGCCCCAGATAAGATTTAATTTAATTAAAATTTAGCTATGGCTGTTAGATTATTACAGTGAGATTATTTAAGTTTATATTTTTTACATGTACTCAAAATTAAACGAAAAGGTACAATGTTTGATTAAAATTTAAATTAAAGAAATATTTACTAATTCGGAAGTCCTTTTTAAGAGTTCAAGACCCTAAAATGCAGAATAGTTCAAGTAAAAATTGGAAATCTAAAACATTTTTTAACATTTTCTACCACTCTTCAGACCAAGTTTTCAGTTTAGTCTCGTTAGATTTGGGTCGTTAAGCAAGGCTTAGAAAATGTTTATCTTAATATTTTCGCTTTTAATTATTTTTAAGCAAACTCATAGGTACTTAACATAGTAAGGCCATAAAATAACCAGATAAACATGCATTTTTTCACACAAAAATGCTAGATAGTCAAGGTATGCTTGGGGTAATTCCGCCGAAATTGGATGTTCTTAACAAAGAAATTCTCACCGCAGAGTTCCCTCTACCCAAAACCTTTAAAAATGTAAATGTAAGTCATTTAATAACGCAACCATTATGTAATCTTCGTGCGCTCATATGCTTTATGGAGCACATCGGCGAGGATATCAAATTGTATCCACAAGTCCAATTTAATTATAAGCCACGCAAGGCCCATCAAAGTTCCGATCCCATGCAGGTGCAAATGCAGAACCTTCGCCGCTGACCAGTCAAGTCGACAGAGTCGACAGTCGTCAGCGATCCGAGCTCATTTTCGGTTCCACATTATTATTATCCACGCTCCCAGTCCGGTTTACGGTTCGGTCGGGAATGCCGCCGCTCTACAATTCATTTGCAAAGCGTATCCAAAAATGCTGATGGGATTATTATATGTTGTTGATCTGGGACTGGGGATATGCGATGCGACTGCAGGTGGAATATCTCAATGCCCGGTCTGCAGGTCTTTATCTTTTTAATGCCGTGGATTGCTTTGTGTTTTTGTTTCTGCTGCCTCTACATTTCGGCTTTAAGCCTTAATTTATGTATTAAAAGTTAGAAATCCGTGTGGACAGGTGAATTTTGTTGACTGCCCTTCTCTGCCAGGTTCTCTCAAGGGCAGAAGTGTATAATTTAGGCGGAGGTATTGGAAGTTGTTCATTAATAATGCGGCGGGTTATTAAAGGAACAGGTATGTGTGAGGAATGGAATTTGTAGCAAACGATTAGCAAAGATAGGGAAGATAGAGAAATGGAGGGGAATCTGAATGAAATCGTTTGCCGAAGCGAATTGCTTCTAGCCATTCAATAGTTTAAGTATTTTAAAATCTTTTATTAGATGTTTTAAAATAAATGCATAGTAAAACTGTACCCTGGATTAACTACTACAAAATATATTCAAAACTTCTCCTAATCCCAGCGGAGTTCTAATCAAAAATAATCCCCCTATGAAAGGTGTAAAAAATACCCATAAAGCGGCAAACAAAATACCCGAAACGAAATAATAGACAAAACCCTGCTCATAGTCATTCATCATATAAATCAGAATTCGCAGACAAACGGACAGGACATAGAACTCGAACCAGGAACCAAAGCATTCGATTGTATGCAAAAACAAAAAAATAATGAAAACGGAATCGAATGGAATGGATTTTTTGGTATGGACATGGTTCGGTGTGGAATGCCGCAGGTGGCCGCCAGCAGTGGGCCCTCGGTCGCTCGCTTTTCAAGTGTTTGCCATTGCAGTAGGACAAATTTACATGCGCGCCTCGCACACAATGAGACGGCGGCCGACCTGACCAGGTAACCAGGTAGCCGTGGTCCAAGCTCCATGCACTCGAAATAAACGAGTTCCCATTTTTATAGAAATATTAAAAAATATTGGTCTAAAAAAACTAAGGTTATTTAAAAGTATTATTTTAGTACGCGTAAAATAATGATATTATATTTGAGCCCAGTTTAAATTTATACACAATAAATTATGGTGAAAGAAACCTACTAATTGAAAAATTTGTATATCTTAAAAACACATTTTGTGAGATTAGATATAAAATGTATTTACTTGTTAGATTTTTATTTAAATATAAATTAGGTTTTTATTAATTATTTGTTCATTTCAAACTTTGGTTTTTTAGAAATTTTTATTAATTATTTGTTTTGAAATCAAAAATTATTATTTTTATTTTTTGTATCTTGTATGTTTAAGTATTATAATTTTGGTTTATGTAAACAAATATAAAGTAAATCAAAAACCTTCTAATATCACTTTTTAATTAAAGTTTATGTTTGGATTTCAAGCAAATATGCATTGCAAATATCTTAAAAATATAAAATAAATTATATAATTGTTTTAAAATTTCCAAAAAATATTTCTGAGTATATAGAGAGCTGCAGGCTGGTGCAGCAGCTACCTGGAATGTCCGACAGTGGGACACACGTCGCTATTCAAATAGGTCGCCGACCAACTGAAGGCATCCAGCAAATGCAAACGCAAAGGCAAAGGCAAACAGAAACGCATCATTTAAATGATGGAAAATGCAAAAAGGATGCTGGGCCGTGTGATTTCCGCTCTGGACACTGCTTTTTATCCTTTGTGAGTGCGCGAGTGCGTGAAAGGTGTCCGAACCTTTTGTTCGAAATATTTTAATTAAATGGACTGAGTTAAGCCCCGTGGCATGGGAAACTGTGGGCTGGATGAGTGCAGAGGCAAATCAATCAATTCCTGCCAAATGCGGTCAAAATGCAATGCTCAATTAAATAAGCCATAAAATGAAATGCCAAAGGGGGTACAATCACTTTGATGTGGGAAGCACGGACTCCAGCGAGACTTAAAGTTAAAATGCTTGCGTTTTTAAAAGCTTTTCGGATGGTATAAATTTCTAGGTGTCTCTGCTTTTACCAATTTGATTTCTAATTGGCGAGTGCCAAAGGATTGACTTTTGATCAAGTGAGACGTCAGGCTAAAAGCCCCAAAACTTTCGGGGAAACTTTTACAAAACCAGAGTAGCAAGAGGGATACCCTAAGATTACAAAATGAAATAAGTACATTTCAAAAAACCTTATTTATAATCTACAATTTTTTAAGTCAACATAAATTATACTGTAACAAAAAGAGTATTTTAAAGGCGAAAGGATTCTCATTTTTTATGCATTCAAAACATATTAAAAGTTTAAACCTTTCTCTTTCAAACCCCTTACTCAAAATAATTTTAGGTTTTTTTTAAATGAATTATAAACGAAAGTCAACATATCTTCATTTTCTTGTAAAGACAAATAATATTATAAATTAAAAAAATATTGAAATCATATTAAAATTAAAGGATGCATTTTTAAGTAACAAGTTTTTAGAAATTTTCTTTAATACAAGATCCATAACATATTAAAAACTCCCCAAAGTCCAGAAAGTGTGCCCATATAGGTGTCAAAAAGTTCCGAATGCCTGTTATCAACTGCTTCTTTTCAGTGCTAAAACTGCATATCCAAAAAGGTCCATCCGCCCAATTGCAGGCTGAGTGCCAAAATGCATTTGCATGCTGGAAGCACTTCAATTCTGGTGCTAAACTAAAAACGCAAAACGCTCAAAAAACGACTAACGAGCGAGCACCCGGGTATCCTGTCACCTGTTCCTCGGGTAAATGGTAAATGGGCGCTGTGGCGGTGGGCGTGGCTCATTTGCATGCGATTGAAAAGCGCGGAATCAAAGTGCTTGATATGAAAAAGGGGTTAAAAGAAAAAACAAAACAAAAACAAGCAATTGGCTGTGGATTTTTCTGGCTGCATGTGAGTGCGGGATGCTGGCTAATTAAAAGCGCATCAAAAGCGGGCACAATTTGCATAGCAAACGAAACGAAACGTTGCGAAAATTAAATAGAAATTGTTAGTTGCACTTTTTCCTTTTCACTTCGTCAAAGCTGCCAATGCCAAAAAAGTTTGTCATGAATAGCTGTCGTTAAAGGAGCGGAATTACGGAATTCTGGGGCGGACGGAGCGCCGCAGCGAATCGTCCAATAAATGTCAGCGGAACAAACTTTGTTCGCCAACTATTTTTATAATTAAACAAACTGATTGTGATAAGTAGGAAGCTGAATGCGAAAGTTATTCTAAGAGCGGGACCAAAGGTCCGGTCATAAATTGGGCAAACGTCAAAGTTAGCACTGTACTACTTGTTCAACAACAAGCCCTCGAGACAACGCGGGGACAAATTCAAAGCGTAAAACAAGAAAACTTAATGATATTTCGTAATTTTCACTGCTAGCACAGAGTGTTAATGAAAATTTGTACTCTTTAATCAAGGTGAACGAGAGAACTAAGAAATTACAAGAACGCATTACTATATCAGCTTAATATCCGAATTCCCTTTCAATTTGAATATGATTTTAAAAATGTAGTAACCAAGATTTTTTGAATTTTCAATTGAAAATATTTTGACATGGATTAGTTTTTGAGTTTTTAAAGTTCGTCTTGGAAAATTTAAAAAAATGCTAGTATTGATCCTTGATTTATTCTTAGTTTGATTCGAAAGTAGAAAAATAAAGACGATTAATCAAAAGTTGGGTATTCAATATAAATACATGAAAATATGAAGGTTTAGCTTAATTTGAAACTCAAACTGTGAAGATAATTTCTAAACGGTTTACTATAAAATATTCAGGTCATCGATAGTATGAAAATTGAAAAAATACTCCTAAAATGATGGGTCTTTGGAGCAATATAAAAGTATGACAATGATCACTTATCAAGAAAGAAAATAGTTATTAGTAATTATAGGGACTTTACCCAAAAACCTGTAAGTTTAATTTGAAACTATACCACTTGATAGTTTTAGCAGAACTATGAGCCTAAAGGATATTTTTTCAACTTGGTTTATAAATGACACTATTGGAATTGGTTTAAAAAGGTTTTACTATCAAATATGCAGGTCGTTCGGTGATCAACAATGTACTTAGGATTAAAGAAAACTATTCTGTGGACTTGGCGGTGCTGGCCGCCGCAGCCGCCTTCGCCTGGGAGGCGTGGTGCTTGGCCACCGCCTCCTGCGCCTTGCTCAACTGGATGTAGCCTTCGTGGGCGCGGGATCGCAGTTCGCTCTCCACACTTTTGTTCACCGACTTCGAGATGACGGACTTGATCTTCTGGGTCTCGTTGAACTTGGCCTTTTTCGCCTGAATGGGGGCATCTATAATAATATATTATTAACTAAAAACTTGTTAAAAATAGAACTACTTGTTGATACTCACTCGAACGGCGTGTGAAGGCGGCTTGTTTTTGGTTCTTCTTCTTCTGTATGGAAGCGGGCAGCTTCGCCTTCTTGAATTTTCCCTGGGGCATCCTTAAAATCCTTTATTTATCAGATAAAAACTAAATAAAAACGTTTCTATTCCGCAGCACGTTGTTTTGGTCTTGGTTTAGTATGACCCTCAGCCGATTGCACCTATCGATTACTCACCCATCGATTGTAGAGGCCTGCCAACCTATTCCACTCCTTGGCGCGCTTTTCAAAACACTTAATTTGTTTGTTCGTTTTATTTTTATTTTAGATTGCTGGCTCACTTATTTGTAACTTGAATTATTCAACATATATTGAAGGGATCCCTGAATCATTTTCTGCTTCAGCAATCCCTCTTGCTCGCTTGCTTTAAACTAAACACAAAAATGTTACAAATTTCAATGCAAAACTTAAATTGTTCGCGATTATCGGTTTTTAACAGGAAATCATTAACATTTAAAAGCGCTGTATATTGTTTATATGCAAGTTAAGTGGGATGCAGTATCCTTATTTACGTATGTATATAATATATATTTATAAATATGGTATTTGTTTATTATTTTTTTTTAGCTTTTCCTCTACATTCTTGTTGTCTTTGCTCACTTGGTGATTAAACAGAGTTCTCAACGATCGAATATTTTGTTTCTTATAAAAATCGTTTTACAAAAACCTATGCGTGTGTGTGTGTGTATGCTTGCGTGTGTGTGTTGAATGTGGGTGTACAAATAAAACAATTAACTGTTCAGTTTGGCAACGATAACGCCAGTTACGATTAAACCTATTATCACAGCGATCACCAGGAGTATCAAGATCTTGCGCCGGTAGCTCTGGCGACTCCTGGCCGCCTTGGCCAGCTGCGAGGTGCCATCCTCCACGTTGGCGGCCGTCTGCTCAATACTGTTCTCGATGAAATCTGTAAAGAGAAATAGGATTTTTTTTTAGAAAATTATAGCTAAAAACCAAAACAGAACAGTATTCCATTAAAAAAAATATATTTAAATATCCAAGTATCAGTAGAGAATAAATAAATAGTAGACGATAGTAGATCTATTAACCTATTTGAAAGCCACAAGACTTAATTTGCAAACATCTCTTTTCAGTTTTTATCACTTCTTATCAGCCCCTCCTTATTTTTGAAACAAACGAAATCATTGTTAGCCACAACATATTGATTGCTGTTAAAATAAGCTCAAAACAATAAGCAGGAAACGAATTTTAATGATATGATAAGAGCATTGCAAAAATACTTGAGATATGACTGGCATTAATTGCATTTTTAGTTATGCTTGTAAAATAATATTTAATATTTTCTTTTAATATGAAATCCGGAATACTAAGTATAGAGAATTAATAGAGTTAAGGACAGGAATAATTTCAATATGATAATAATAATATGATAAGAGTACTGCAAAAATACTTGAGATATGGCTGGAATTTAATGCATTTTTAGTTAGGCTTGTTAAATAATATTTAATATTTTCTTTTAATATGAAAACTGGATGACTGAGTATTGAGAATTAATGGAGTTATGGATAGAAGTAATTCTAATATGATAAAAATAATACTAATATGACAAAAATACTTGATATATGACTGGCATTTATTGCATTTTCAGTTATTATTCTGGAATAATATCTTTAAAATTTAGTTTTAATATGAAAACTGGATTACTGATTATAGAGAATTAATAGAGTTATGGGTAGGAATAATTCCAATATGATAATAATAATTCTAGTATGATAAGAGTATGGAAAAAATACTTGAGATATGACATTAACTGCATTACTGGATTACTATACTTGAGAAATGACTTGCATTTAATGCATTTTCAGTTATTATTCTGAAATAATAACTTTAAAATTATTATAAATTGATTATAGAGAATTAATAGAGTTATGGTTAGGAATAAGCAGTAATAAATAATAAATCTGTGCTAATGAATCATAATTTTCATTTATCATTGTGTAGCAAATGCAATAAACCCTGATAAAAGTTTAACTGATAAACCCAAGATATTCAGTTGCCCCAATGGATTTCTCCATTTTCACCTTATTATTCGCATTACTCGTGGCTCCAAGGAATATCGTAAGCTGAGCACCCTAATTACGGTTTGTGGTTTGTCAACTTGTGGTTTCTGGATCCCCTTCCCTTCTAGAAACCGGGTTTCTCTCGCATTCCCGGGGGTTACTCACCCATCTGCTGGCCCTGATCGTGCACCAGGCCACTCAGCTTGTTCATGATCTGGTTGACATCGATGATGTCCGACTCGATCTGCTCCACCTGGCGCCTCCGCTCGTCCAGCATGTCGTGCTCCTGCTGCAGATGGGCCTGCTCCAAGCGCTGTTGCTGCAGCAGCTCCGCCCGGGCATTGGCCTCCGCGTCCTGATCCGCAAAATGCTGGGCCTGCTGGAGGGTCTGTCGCATGGCCGACGAGATGCGTCGCTGCAGATTGGAGTAGTTCTCGACGACGCCGTGGAACTCCCTTGTGAGCTTCTCCAGCTGCAGCTTCTGCTGGCGATCCCCGTGCCGCACCACCGCCTGTAGCCTCTGCAAATCCTGCGTGGTGGTCTGCACCCGGGCATTGCACTTGGTATTGATCGAGTGCACCTTCTCGCGCAGATTGGGCAAATCCTTGGGGGTTCCTATCAATTTCAACTGCTTCTCCAGCTGCTTTGTGCTGCTGTGAATGGCGGTGATATTGTGCCCGATATCCTCGCTGAGGGACATGAATTCCGTGGGACTAAAACCGGAGGAACCGCCGGCTGCAGCGAAACTCACTTCGGGCGTGGAATCCGCCATGGCGCCGTAGTCCCGATGGGGGCCACCGCCTCCTCCTCCGGCGCCGCCGCCTCCTGGGTTGTTCAAGGCCTGGGACATGGTATCTGTAATATTCATATCTCTGTGAGTTCAAAGCGGGGGTCTTGGAAAATAGGGCGACACTTAATACGAGCAAACAGACAAATCCCTACAAATGATTCATGTTGTTTTTGTTGTTGTCCCAACTTATCAACATATGATGTGTGTATCGGTGTGTTATCGGTGTATCAGTGCTTGTCTTTGTATGGGTGGGCAACATTTACGTGTTTTCCTCTTCGCATATGATTTGCCTTCGGTGGGCGGGGGCAGGGGGTCGACTCCTCTAGGGCTTCCGCCTGGTTAGAAGGGGAATGGAATGCAAAACCGGGATTACCTGGCACTTACTTCAAAGCGAGTTCTCTGCCGTGGACGCACAATGTCAGCGCACAAAGCCTTTCCTTTCACCACACAAAATACAATGATAATTCTGCAGCAATTGCTTCTGTTCCCTCTGACTGTGTGACCATTGCGTATGCGCAATTTTTGCCCCATGACAAATACGGAAGGGCGCCCTCTGGTGGTTTAGCTAGGAACTACAAAAGTTGTGTGGCGCGCGTTCTATCGATGCTGGGGGCGGGTTATCGATTAATTGGGCGCCAATTCTGGCCCCACGCACCAAAAAGGGGTTAAATTGAACCCTTAGATTTAACCCTTATTATCAGAAATTCAATTTAAAATTTGTATGAATTTCTCAACTTTGATCTTAGATCCCAGTAAAAGTCTAGAAAACAGTAGCAGTTATTTGGACTTAAGGCCGTTTTCTCGTCTGTTTGTTCAAATTTAAAGTAGGGTTAAAACCTTGAAATCGTATGGGAAATAATTGTTTTAACCCTACTTTAAATTTAACAAACGGACGAAAAACCGGCCTTAACCTTATAAAATTGCAGAATATTCTAAGAACTAACCTTTTTTGAAGTATCTTGAGTATTCACTCTATTTCTGTACAATTTTTTACTCATTCCAAAAACAAATTACAAATTTTTTTTAAATTTCACAAATATAAACCGAAATCACACCTTTTTTAACTAATTTAAAACCAAGACTTAGGTACCGATCTCCTATTAATCCCACTGATTCACTAAAGAAAACACATTCGTTACGTTCTTGGCTTGTAATTCCGTAGCTTAACGTACAGAGTGTTATGCTAAAAGGTAAAAATCCTTAAACTCCTGGTTCTTAGTGGGTCTTGGCGGCCAGACGCTTGTCGCGCTCCTCCGAGATGCTCAGCTTGACGCCCTTGCCCTTGGGCAGGGAGATGTAGGGCTTGTTGCCCTTGCCAATGATGAACACGTTGGTCAGACGAGTGGCGAACACATGGCCCTGGGAGTCCTTGATGTGCACAATGTCGAAGGATCCGGGGTGACGCTCGCGGTTGACAACGGTGCCGACACGTCCCAAATTCCTGCCTCCGGTGATCATGCAGAGGTTGCCTGTGGAGCGAAACGAAAGTTGAATTAGTTTAAATCACACTTTTGCATTATTTTAGGCGACTGTCATTGCACGTAAAAGTTACTGAAACGACTCTAAGCTGCCGAATCAGTGACCGTCGTGACAAAAAATGCTTTTGGCTTGTTGATTTTGAACCACGCAACTTTGGCAAACGTTTTGTGGTCTTCGAACCAGCCAATGAAAAGCGTAGGGCAATCCTCACCAGAATCGAACTTGATGTAGTCGGTGATCTTGCCGGTGGCAATGTCGACCTGCACGGTGTCGTTGGCGTGGATCAGGGGATCCGGGTAGCGGATGGTGCGACCGTCGTGTGTCACCAGGAATGGAACTCCCTTGGCGCCCAGCTGGTTCTTCTTGACCTTGCACAGCTTGTACTGTAAGGAGAATGAAAAATGTTGGTTATTTTTAATGTTACTAAGAGATAAATCCCCTTAAACCTTTACTATCCCTAAATATACACTTTAATTCAATTGTAATTGCACGTAAAAGTTACTAAAACGACTGTGGAATGCCGAATCAGAGACCGTCGTATCAAAAATTGCTTTGGGCGTTGATTTGAACCAATTAACACATGGCAACAGGCGGAAATCGGTCTTCGACAAAGCCCGCAAAATTTATTAATGGAAAGTTCACTAAAATTCTAAAGTATAAGCTATGATTCTTTTGTAATTGCACGTAAAAGTTACTGAGATAACTGAAGTTTGTCAAATCAGAGACCGTCGTATCAAAAATTGCTTTGGGCTTCGTTTTGAACCAATTGACGCACTATTAGAAACGCAAAACGGTCTTCGACAAAGCCCTTTTAAACATTAAAAAGTTTCTTTATAGTTGAATTACTAATTAAAATATATGATTTTATAAAGCTCTTCTGAATATTACTTATTTTAAACAAGTTTAAGGTAGATTTACATGTTATTTAGATAAAAAGAAGGTAAAATAGAAGGTAAAGATTTACAAGAAGTGTAAAGGAAATATCCCTGAATTTGAACCTAAACAAATTAATCTCAAAAACGGGCTATATTCCCTGAAATTACTTGAGTACTAATAAATATCTTGAAACCTCTTAAAGCAACTTTCCCTCTGAGAGAATCAATAACTCACCTTGGCCTCCTCGGCGGAGATGCGGTGGATGGTGAAGCGGCCCTTGACGTCGTAGACCAGACGGAAGAACTCACCGGTCTTCTCGAGGGTGATGACATCTAAAAAGGGTTAGGATTAGAATTAGATTCCGACAGATTTTTCACAATCCCCGGCAGAAAACTCACCCATGAAGCCAGCGGGGTAGGTGGGGTCGGTGCGGACCTTTCCGTCGACCTTCACCAATCGCTGCATGACGATCTTGGTCACCTCGGCGCCGTTGAGGGCGTACTTCAAGCGGTTTCTCAAGAAGATCAGCAGGGGCAGCGACTCACGCAGCTTGTGTGGACCGGTCGAGGGACGCGGGGCGAAGACGCCTCCCAGCTTGTCCAACATCCATGCCTTGGGGGCGGCTAAACGCTTCAAATGCTTCTTGGGGCCACGCGCCTGGAAAATAAGTGGGTTTTAGTTGTATATCCAAAAGCAATCACGAGATTCCCTCGGCGGAAAAGTCAAACATTCACGGTTTCAACTCATTCCGCTGGCAGATCGTAGTGTGCACAATACTCACCATGTTTGATTCACTATATTGTACGGGCGATCACTGCAAATAAAAGAGAATCCAACTTTTAGTTTTTTGTAAACATTCGGAAAGCCGCATCAATTCACAGAAAATCCCCGGGCCTGGCCTCCAAATAACACCACTGACGCTTTTTTTGGCCCGCGTATAGCCCCTTCCCATTGTAGTTGGCCCATAACAAAGGCCGATGGCAAAGATATTATTTGATGAAAAATTACACCAAAATATTATATGATGAAAAATTACACGTACCGTCCGTCGAGCAATACAACAGGAAAAGGAAGATATTTGACGGCAGTGTGGCCAGCAGCCACGAATAAAAATTCGTTAAAATACTAGATTTCGAGCAATGCGCATTGAGCATTGCGCCAGGGGTGCAGTAAATATTAGGGGCATTCAACTTATTACATCTGTCAGATACCTTAAATAAACGTAATTAAATAATATATTTATTTAATAATATTCCTGCAACAGGCATAAAGTTCTATATAAAAACGTGGTAATGTTTTAACTTAAAGCACGATTTGCATACAAAATTTCATAGAAAGACTTAATATCAAAGTGTTGCTGCCTGTCGCAGAAAGTTGTTGATCGATCTTAGTTATATATACCTAATTTTTTTGTTTTAATTGGCTAAAAGAATATGTGGTTCGGAGATTTTTAGACCATTTGAAACAGCGGTCGGCACACACATACATACGTTGACATTTTGTTTTATATTTGTGTGAGTAATTTGCACTGGGAAGCTCATCGATCTATTGTGCAGACCGCTGTTCTACAGTGTACGTGAGCGAGCAGCGGCTGGGCAGAACAAAACCCTATGCTCACTTAATAGGACGCTGCCACCCGCTGTTTTGAAAGAACTCGAAAATCAGGATCTGCTGAAATGACATGCAAGGTTAATCACCGTATCAGGTCCCAGCTCTATATTTTCAAACGAATTATCTTATAATTGTTTAATTTGAAGTAAAACAAGAGAGAACGCTATAGTCGGGTTGTTGTCCCGACTATCTAATACCCGTCACTCAGCTAATTTTTGATTGCGTATAACTTTTTAATGAATGGTCCGATTTGAAAAATGTCTTCTACATTTCGATAGGTATAAATATACACAATAAAATTGCATTTATACTTCTCGGAAATCTTTAAAGATGTGGGCGCAGGACCCATTTTAAAATCGTTAGTGGGCGATTGTGGGCGTTAGAGGGGGCGTGGCGCTCGGCTAAAATAAACTTGCGCTGCGTAGGAAGCCAAAGAATATGTGTGGGAAATCTCAACCTTCTAGCTTTTGTAGTTTCTGAGATCTCAGCGTTCATACAGACGGACAGACGGACAGACGGACAGACAGACAGACAGACAGACAGACAGACAGACAGACAGACAGACAGACAGACGGACAGACGGACATGGCTAGATCGACTCGGCTAGTGACCCTGATCAAGAATATATATACTTTATGGGGTCGGAAACGCTTCCTTCTAGCTGTTACATACTTTTGCACGAATCTAGTATACCCTTTTACTCTACGAGTAACGGGTATAACAAGTTAATATAATTGACTAGGACCAATTAGGACATTAATCCTGCCTAAAAATGGGGTATTTATGTAGCAGAGTCCTTGTGATTTATCTAGATTTTTCGTTTCTTTATCTTTGTACCTTACTAAGGTTTTCTAATTGGAATAAGGAGTAAAAAGTCGAAAAAAATGATCAGAAGGGTGAAAAGGTATGAATGAGCTAATGTGTGCCAAACATTTTTGAGGTTGGACAACTCAAAAAGTGAAAGTTGCTCTATTTCCATTACGAAGAAAGTCGGAAACCCTAACGAGAAAGGAGAAACTGGTGCTTAACTCGTGACAACCACTGTATATTTTCTTTATTGCACACAATTATTTTGGTTTTTCTTTTAATTACATTTATTTAAGGTATGTGACTGCCCCTAATATTTAATGCACCCCTGGCGGAAAGTAGCCCTGCACACTGCTCCAAATCTAGTATTTTCATTCGTGGCTGCGCTCGAGTATCATCCTTTTCATGAACTCGCCTCTGGTCACACCACAAAATATACCAGACTTCGCACGGCTGCATTGAGCGCCAACAATCGAGCCACTAAAACACAGTGCCTATCGGACTTTGAAAATATCAGTTATATTTTTGGTAATTTTACAATTGTGTTTATTTTCTCATTTAGTTAATGCCCCTCAAAACACACAATTCGCGCTTTAGGCATTATTAATTACAATCTGTAAAACCTACTTATAAATTAAACTGCGGCAACAATACAATTTGCCAAACGGATTTACTCTGGTTTATGTGTTATCCTTGCTTTGTTTTTTTCGTTTTTGTTTTTCTTTATGCTTTTATACGGGAATTTACGCATTTAAAACCACTGGGGGCTAAATAGTTATAATGGTTAATTCAGTTTTTTTTTTTTAATTTTTTTGTACATAATACAAACTGTATTCATTCGCTTAATGTTGGCTCGCTAATTTAGACGCTACTCATTCTGTTGTTTAGGCGAAAGAACTTAACGGTATGTGAAATACATTTTTAAGAAATACAATGTATGCAGTTAATGAATGTATAGTTGGTTTAAATGTATATTTCTATTTTAATGGCTACGTACGTCTGTCTGTGAAAGCGAGTGATTCATTATCCCCGATTTGCGATTTACGATTCACGATGAGGGGATGGATGATGAGTGTGGAACAGGGTCAGTATGTTGGGCAATCATTCTCGCTTATATAGTCTGTCGTTCAGTCCAGTTTCTTCATCGATTTGAGGGCTCGTTCCCGCAGCTGCTTCTCGAGATCCTCGTTAATGACCCCGGTTCCGGATGCTCCCGGCAACAGGAGCGGCAGCTTGCCCGCATTGCCATTCCTCTTCGGCTGCTGCTGCTGCTGCTCCTCCTCATCGCTGCTGCCCTGCGAACTGCTGTCCGCCCGCGATTTGCCGGCACTGCTCTTCCGCTTGTGCTTCTTATGCTTCTTGCTCTTCTTGCTGTGCTTCTTGTGTTTCTTATGCTTCTTGCGCTTGGACGAGGCCTCGGAATCGCTGTCGCTCGACTCCGCCGCCTTCTTGGCCTTCTTGCGCTTCTTCTTGGGCAAATGCTCGTCCTCGGAGTCGCTGTTGCCGTTGCCTTTCTTGTGGCTACGCTTGCGACTGCTCGTCGACTCCGAGCGCCGCTTGTCCTTCTCCTTCTCGCGCGATTTCTCCTTCTCCTTCAGCGCAGCCGCCTCCTTCTCCTTTTCCTTCTCCTTCTGCTGCTGCAGCTTCTTCTTGAGCCTCTCATCCCCGCTGGAGTTGTCCTCGTCGTCGCTCTGTTCGCTGCTCGATGAGCTTTCCGAGCTGCGTCGCGCCTTCTTCTTGGCCGCCTCCACATTCGGCGGCTGCTTCTTGCGACGCGGCTGCTGCTCCTCGCTCTCATCGCTGTCGGCGCTGCTGTCGGAGCTGCTGCTCTGGCTCTGGTCGCGGGATTTCTTTGGTGCCGCCGCCGCAGCCGCTTTGGCAGCCAGTCGCTCGTGGGGCTTAAGGAACGGAGAGGGCGTGCGGGACAGACTGGCGTAGCTGCTGCGCACGGCGGCCGCCGCCGGAGGAGGAGCCTCGTCCAGCACAATTATGGTTTCTCGCTTCTCCGCCTTGCGCAGCTCCTCGATGCAGAGATCGATGGTTTTTACACCCGGGCCAGTGAACTCAACCGAGGAACGTCCTGAAAGGAAGGGATTTTTTAATTAGCCATTTTATAAGTATTAAGTATTATGATTTCAGTCAGAAGTTTGCAACGCAGTGAAGGAGACGTTTCCGACCCCATAAAGTATATATTATATATACGGACATGTCCGTCCGTCCGTCTGTCCGTCCGTTTCTACGCAAACTAGTCTCTCAGTTTTTAAGCTATCGGGATGAAACTTTCCCAAAAGTCTTCTTTCTATTGCAGGTAGAATATATGTCGGAACCGACCGGATCGGACAACTATATCTTATAGCTCCCATACGAAGGATCGGGAAAAAAACGGTTAAAAAAATTCTAGCTTCGGTGTTTTCTCAAATGTTACCTTCAACTCTTGGGAATATTATTTTTACAAAATCGGATCACTATTAATATAGCTGCCATAGGAACGATCGTAAAATTAATGGGTAATTAATAGGAAATAACTTTTAGCTTCTTTGGCTTTTATTGTATTCTCTTCTACTTTAGGATATGACTCTTTTTAAATATTTCCGAATTTCAATTTTAATTTTATCAAAATTGGACGACTATATCATAAAGCTGCCATAGAAAAGATCGAAAAATTAATGGGAAATTAATTGGAAACAAATTATAGCTCCGTTGGTTTTTATTGTATTCTCTTCTACTCTAGGAAATGATTTCTTTTTTAATATTTCCGAATTTGGAATTAAATTTAACAAAAATCGGACGACTATAGAAAAAATAATGTCAAATTAAAAATTTTTGCGGTTTGTAAGATAATAGGAATGATCTGCAAGGGTATATAAGCTAGCTTCCTTTCTTGTTTTATCATCACTTACCAACTGGACTCTCCCGCTTGCGACTGCGCCGCGAACTGGAGCGACTGCGGCTCCTCTGGCGACTCTGGCTGCGACTGCGGCTGCGTCCGCGCTTCTCCGGCGGACTGGGGCTGCGCTGTCGCTGCTGCCGTCCTCCAGCCGAGCTGCCCGACGACGAACGCCGATTTCTGGCCGGCGGCGGGTTGTCCCAGCGATTCAAGTGGCCGGGCGAACTGCGCCTTTCCCTGGAGTTGGGACGGCGATCCCTCGAATTGCGACGCTGCTGCGGCGACGAGAAGCGACGTCCCTGTCCCGGATGCGGCGAGAATTGCTTGCGGAAAGGCTGCTGCTGCTGCATCGGCGACTGGCGGTGGTCGCGATTATAGCGATTCTGCTGCGGCGACTGTCGTCTATCGAAGCGGCCCATTCCACCGCCGCCGCGTCCTCCGCCGCCGGGACTGTGCCTGGCCTGCCAGTGAATGCGACCGCCGCCTCCGCCACGGAAGTTCGGTGAGCCGCCGCGATGCTGCCACATCTGCCGATGACCGCCGCCGCGTCCGCCACCGCGACCGCCGCCTCGGAAGTTCATCATGGGCGAACGGCGACGATTGTTGAAGCTGTTGGGAGAGAAAAAATTAGCTAAAACTCAGGTTAAACGTTTATAGAAGCCACCAACCGTCTGGGCGAGCGAGAATAGCGCATGGGCGAGCGGGACAGCCGCCGGGATCTCGATCTGCGTCGCGAATTGGAGCGCTGGAAGCGATTGCCGCCTCCGCCTCCATTATCCTGTCGCATGGGACTGCGTCCGCGTGGCGAGAAGCGTCTGTTACCGCCTCCCCGACGACCGCCGCCTCCTCCGCCGCCAAACTGCCTGCCGCGATCATTGCCACGCTCCATGGAACTAGCCGAATCACCGCGATTATTGCGATACTGCCGCTTGTTCTGCACACTGTTCTTGTTGCGCCGATGCTCAAAGTGATCCTGATTGCGCTCCGGCGATAAAGAGATGCTGCTGGAGCGTCCCCGACGGCGGCTGCGACGCGAGGAGCTGCGGGAGCGCGACCGCTTGGCGCTGGGCGAACGCGAGCGGCTGCGCGGCGAGCGGGAACGGCTGCGAGGCGAGCGGGAACGAGACTTTTCCTTGGGCGGCGGCAGCGGCGACGCTTTGTCCGCCGAGTGGCGGCCATTGACAGTCTTTGCGGGTGCGGGCTCCACAGAGGAGCCGCCGCCGGTCTTCTTGCCGGAGCCCCGAGAGCGGGAACGCGACCGCCGGCTGGTGCGCCGCTCCCTGGAGGCGGGACGGGCGGCCGAGGAGGAGCCGCGCTTGCGAATCTTGGCCGCCGCATTGGCAGCCGCCTCTCGAGCGGCACTGGGCACCGAACCATTGTTGTTGGCCGGCTTCAGGGAGCGCGATCTCGAGCGCGACTTGGTTTTAGAGCGGTCACGCTGGCGATCTCGCCGGGAGCTTCCCCGCTGGGAGCGGGATCTGGAGCGGTCCCGCTGCTGCCGCTGCTGCTCCTCCTCCCGCTTGAGTATCTCGTCCTTCTTCTGCTGGATGAACTCCGCCGGTATGCCGGAGTCGCTTTCCTGGGCGGAGAGCAGCAAGGCCCACAGTTCGCCCATAAATTGGCGGGCATTGCGACCGTTCAGGAATCCAGTCATGTTTATCTGCATCTTCTTGGGGCACGGATACTTCTCCTCCTCCAGCTGATTGTAGACAAACTCCACCACGACGTCGTCCTCGATGTGCAGAATGTCGGTGATCTTCTTGCTGATCCAAGGACGCAGTACGTCCAGTTTCACCTTGGACATGTCCACCCGTTTGTTTAGGCAATCGCCGAACTTCATTTGCTTCATCAGCTTCTTCTCCTTGTCGCTAAATCGGGTGTCCTGCTGCTGGTTGGTGCCCTATTTACGATTTTTTTGGGGGGAAAAGCAGGACATTTTCCAAGGGGGGAGAGAAATATATGTGATGTGAGAAAAAAACAGTTTATCGATTGGCATGCGGGGGGTGTTCCCATTCGGGTTTTTCCTCTGCTCACCGTGAACATCATCTTGGCTGCCTTTTCGTCGTGAGTTTCCTGCGGGAATTTCGGTGCACTGCCGCCAATTTGTGGCCCCACTTCAGGCCAGGCACATTTGTTTTTTCCGGCGCACTATAAATTCGACTTGAGAAATCCAATAAAAATATGTAACCCGGCACCACGCAAGTCGATTGTCTACACACACACACTCGCGCAGCGTCTTTTCGCCGTGCGTATGTGTGATGGCCGGGGATGCGATGCCTTTTTTTACTGATTGCTACACTATCTGAACACTCGGTTATCGCGTTTATCAGTCTAGTGCACCTGTCGTCTCGCTGGAAACACCTTTTATGCCAATTAGCGCGCTAATTCGCTGCACTTTGCGTTCGCAAAATAAAAAATATATTCGTGAAAACGGTCTGCGCCAGTGATGGCAGCAGCGGCCCAAAACACGAGTAATCGACACGAGCGGAAAACTATCGAAAGCAAATATCGGCGGCGATCTGGCAACGCTGCATCCGAGTGGCAAAACTTATCGGTTTTGAATGCGATCGGTATTTTATTCTGATTGGATAAAACTTTATAAAAGTTTTTATCGGGGGAATCCCAATAAATACGACATTTTAATTATGGGTTTTAGTAGTCCCCTTAAAAGAATGATTATTTCTAAGCTCAAAGCCTTTGATTATGTACCTACTGCCTTTTATTTACACTCATGTTGCAATTGTGGACTAATTTTGTAATAATAATATATAAATTTAAAAAAAATTAAAAAAAAAAAAACAAAGCTTGTCACATTTCGAAACGAATGTTTTTATTTTGCATTTTCGAATGCCGTAATTAGGGGTTCTAATAAATACACACTACAAATGCACGGAGGCATTAATTCAATTTTGTTTAAATTTAGACTTAACATTAGGATTTGATTATTTTTCGAGCAAAATTGCATTTCAATTTTATACAGCTGAGAGGGAATGAAAAAAGGAGAATGAGAGATGGGGGAAAACATTAAATAACATTGCAAAATTGATTTCGCTACAAAAAATAATTCCTCTTTTTAAGTACACATTAATTTAGCCAGCCAGCCAGCTCAGCCCAGCTCCGCTCCGACCCAAAACTCGCTCAGTTCTTTTGGTTGCTGTTGGTGTTCCTGGTGGTTACCGCCTCCTCCTCCTCCTCGCCCCCCTAGGGTATCATATTGGGCTCCTGGGCGGCGCCCGTCGAGTACTTGGGCTTGCAGACGCATCCGCTCTCCACCAGCACGTAATCCTGGCCAGTCAGCGTCACCGGGCCGAGGGGAATGACCAGGAAAAGGTAGGGCACATAGGTTTGCGTACACTCGCCGCGAACCACGTCGCACTCAGAGGACCTAGAAATTAAAAAAAAACCAATTAGTTAACTTAAAAAATTTGGATCATATGATGTTATTGGTATTCTATGGGTACAAAGAAGTACTAACGATAAACACTTGTATTATTTGCATTATTTAAGTTCCACATAGATACCTAAAAATATTTGATGTAAGTAACTATGAATTTAAAATTTTAAAAATAATTTTAACCATTGATTTTTAAAAATATAAAACACAAAATAATAATCATGACAGCTTTTCATAACTTCACCAATTTGGAATTTATTGGTGTATTTGATTTTTTTGTAGCACTTTTCTAAGTGGTTGATTTTTTTAGTCAGGAATTTGAAGATTTGAAATAACTGTTATTTTCTGTCCCTGAGTTAAATTAAATTTGGATGGAACCGAATAACTATTTATTTATTAGTTCTTTAAATTTTTAATTTTTCATTTTAAAAAGAAATGTTTTAGAATTTATTTTTGGGAATAGGTAAGAGAATATTCGAGTTCATTAAGTTGGTTTAACACAGAATACAGATGATCTTGCAGTTGAATATAGAACCCAATCGCACTTTCTTGGGCTTACTTACTCGCACACTTCGAAGACCACCTGCTGGAGGAGATCGGGGAACTTCTGGACGATGGTCACCGGCTGTCCGGAGGTTAGGCTCACCCCGTACATGGGCGCCGTGGTGTTGTAGCGGGTCTTGCAGAGCCGCGCCGGCGTCTCGCTCTTGCACTGCTGCGCCGGCGAGCCGTTCTTCAGCGATCGACCTGCGAGATGAGATTAATCAATCAATCAATCGATCGTTCGGTCAATCAGGTGGTGACCGACTTACCATAGCGACTGCTTCCGACGGCCTCGTTGTTCACCTCGTCGTAGGCCCTCAGTAGAGCACTGGTGGTTATGGCGGGGTCCAGTGTGCTGGGCAATTTGCTCTGGCGGCCACGTCGCGAGTTTCCGTTCCAGTTGGAGAATGTGCGCGCCACGGCCGCGCTGCAGAGATCCCAATTAGGGGGTTATGGGCGTTAGAAAAGAAAGTTATTTGTACCACTGACTCACCTTGGGTATGGCGCATTATTGGGCCCCAGACAATCGAGTGAATCCGTAAGCGCATCGCCGGACAGGTACTTAAGGCCACGCCCACCGCTGCAGCGGCTGGCGGGCGCATCATCGCTGCTGTAGCTCGGCCACAGAGCCGCGTTTGCGCAGGTGAGTGCGATGCTGATGACGCAGAGAGCCGTTAGGTGCTGCAAGCGAAATGATACGGATATGGGTTACGAAACGGTCGAAAAAGATTATTCACGAGGTTAACGGAGAATAGTCTTGTAAAAAGAGAGATTAAGCTTGGCGAATATTATTTAATTTAAAGAGCAATTATTATTTCGAATAAGGTTTTTTAGAGATAAAATATCACTAGTTAATAAAAATGTATAGAAAAGAAAAAAAGACAAAAATAATCATCAATCGATTAATTTTTCATATACATTTTGGTGCGATCTGTGTACACTGTACATGTCAAAATGATATTTCCGAACATATGATTTAGTACCATATTGATATGAAATCTTACCATTTTGTTATGGAAAAAATAATATGAAACAATATCAATACCATATTGTCCCGTCTTTTCTCTGTGTATTTACTACACTCCTAAAAATGACATTCCCATAAAATGACTCAATCTCATAAAAAATTTAATAGTCGTTTCGTTGTTTTCCTTGCTGCTTTCTATTCCATTTCAATTAAATTGGTGAAGCCCAAAAAAATAATGTTTAATTTTAATAAAATATAATATTACAATAAAATATATATCTTGAAAATTAAAGAAAGTCTTTAAATATACTTTAAAATACTTTGATCATCATTACTTACTAAATGATAAGAAAATATTAAAGAAAACGGACTTCCTACTTTTAATTACTTTTTCAATTAATGGCTTTAAGATAACTAAATAAGAAAAAAAGGTTTTTATGGTCTCCGAAATTAGTTTATTATAAACGGTAAGGAGTGACTAAACTTGGACAAGCCTGTTTCGAGGATTACTGACCACAAATACATATATTCGTAACATTCTTAGATCCTACAAGTTAGTAGTCTGGGTAGTATCGTTGCTATAGGCCCGTGCGGATAACGGGTAGTGGAGGAAGTGCTGTGTCATGCAGAAAATACAACTAGTCTGTACGGCTGTTCCGTAAGAGTTGTAACGTGTTTCATGGCCTGTCGTTGAACCGATGACCCTGACCATGGCCCCGGTTATTTGTGTGTGCTTGTCAAGCGTCTGGTGGGGACTCTACTGGGTTCTAGGAAAAGGCCTAAAAGTGCGCCACTGCAGACGATGTTGATGATGGCCGTGAGTTACAAGGGTTATTTTTTCTTTCGATGAAAAGTTTCTATTTTCACATGCTTGACCCGCTTAGCCCCGAAATCCATAAACAAATTAATTAAGCTCATAAATAACCATCTTGCGGGGCATCGCACGTGAAAGTAAAAACAGAGAAGAAACCCACATTGAGAAGAAATGTCTATACAACATTTTTCAGTGGCACGGCATGCAAAGCTGACTTCTAATATGGTCTGAACTTTTTATTGCCTCTTCTTGCGGTTTTTATTTGGCCGCTCGCATGTATTTTCTTTCACTTTCTCTGTGCAGATTTGGCTGCTGATCAAGTGCCCCGATGCGAGCCAAAAAACCCGTTTCGATTGAATTAAAATTGCAGCACAAAATTTGCCATTTTTTACTTTAATTTTTTCTTTTTATCGCCTTTGACTTTCTGCTGAGAAAATCGCTGCACGTACGAGCATGCGAAACGATAATCGTAGCGTTTCTTGCAGCCTTTGTCCGACTGTCAATGGCGGAATACCGCAAATATTTCTTAATTGATATAAATATTTTCTTTCTGTTATTGTTTTGTTTTGTCGGCCGTTTGGTTCGCACATTTGGTAAGTTTGTTAGCCAACTTTCTTTTCAGTTAGACATTTGACAAAAAAAAAAAAAAGATAGTGAGGGGCCATAATGGTCATTGCGTGTGCGCAGCGCTGGTGGGAAAAAACGAAAGCGAAATTCTATTATTTAATTCTTTTCACATTCATTACACGACTTTAATGGGCCTGCGGCGCTTGCACACGTGCAGAGAGGCCCTAATGCTTGATAGTGCAAGGGGGGCCTCAAAGCACTCTCACCGTGCCTTTTGTCGAATTCTTCTGTGGAAGACTCGGGCTCATTAAACGCGCTTTTCTCGGCATTGTCATTTCGTTGGTCCGACTTTCCGTTTTTATGACTCTTCAGCAATTTCGTTTAATAAATGCTCGCGGTCCCCTCTTAATTCGACATTAAAGCAGACGGGTCCCCCTTGGGACAAGCCATTGCCATTTGAACCTGTCACAAGACGCATTTCTACCTGGTAATTGCCCTCTTGATTGGGCCTCCGTCTCCTAATGAGGCGACTTTCTTAGGTCTGCGAGGGTTCATTGAAGTGATTGCGGCATGACTGTACCGAATGCAAATAATTTCGAACCACCACCGCCGGCACATAATTGGGCTTTGGAAATCGTCAAATCACGCATTAATCAAAAACCCATTGACGATTCGTTGACAATTTCAGTTTGCCCCGTCATTAGGCTTACATAACAACAACAACAAGGTGCACTATATGATTTTCTATGCTTTTTATTTGCCCGCGAGGGAAAGAGATGCCGAAACTAAGCCAGGCTAGAAAGAACTTGGAGATGGGAGCGTGAGGAATTTATATTCAGCATATAAACTTAAATTTCCTTAATTCTCAAAAGAGGTTAAGATCAACTATTGCTTTTCGAGCAAAGTAATAAATTGTAAAACCAAGTTTATTGTGAGTGATCTTTTTAGAAGTCAAAAAGTTCTGATCAAAGTAGAGTCACGAAAAAGCACGGCTTGAAACCATCTCTAAAAAGAACTGAAGGCAGAGAGACAGAGCAACAACAGCAACAAACGGCAAAAAGAGACAAAGCGAAGAGCAAAACTGTCAAGAGCAGCGGCTCCGTTCGTGGATCAGGTGCCGTTATAACGAGGTTAACGACCCACATCGCCATCTCCCTCTCGATCCATATCCCTCTCTCCGTCTCTCGCTCATTCTCGCTGGCATAAACAAACATTGGTGTTTAATAACAAATGAAATTAAATTCTAACAGCTCAGCTGCACGGGTGAAAATTGGTTTCGGGAAAGCATGGCAATGTCGACAGATTATTGACAGCTTACAAATAGCCGCCAGTGACTGTGACTTTGGCTGTGACTTTGACTTTGAGTCTGCGATTTCGATTGCGACCGCTGCACGCGATGTTGCTAGTTTGCTAGGAACTGGTTTATTGATAAGCGTAGCCGTAGCCCATAGCCCCCGGGTATTCCCCTCCAAAGAGTTCCACATTCTCAATGGATGTCAGTGATAATGCATTGTGATTGAAACGAATCGAGAGAGAATTGTGCTTGGCCGTTGGCTTCGCTTGACTGACACAATTTCCCAAAGGCTTTTGTTCGTCGATTGTGGATCAGTTGGTCAGGAAAAGCCGATGAAAAGCAAAGGCCAATTGTTTGGGGGAACCTGTCAACACGGAGTGCGTCGAAGAACTGGTAAAAAAAGATGCTAATTAAAGTTTGATTTGGAAAAGAAGACTGTCTTCATTTTTGTGGGGTTCTGGAACTAATTTGAGTTGACCCAAAAATAGCCAAAAAGACAAATATTATATATATGTATTATTTGTTTTAAAAATGATTAATGATTTAAACTTTTGGAATCAGAGAACTTTAATCTCCAAAACACTTAATAACCCTGAGGGAACTGAAATTATGCAATATTTTCACACACTTTTTCATAGACTTAACTTTTCGAGTTATCGAATTTTTGATAATTGTCACCTTGAGGAGTTGCTGTTCCCATTTATCGATCATTATATCGACTCAAGAACAGTAGTGTATGCAACGCAACCTAAGAAAAGTTTTTTTTTGCTGGTTCTCAGCACCGTTGCGCATTAGACCGTTGTTTTATGTTGTTTTCCATTATTTTTTTCGTTCCGCGACAGACAACAAAGCTCGATGCCGTGATAACCCCGAAGCGACAAAACTTTCAATGGGTTTTTTTCCCCCGAAGAAGCGGCCGCTATGCAGATCACGTTTTCCCAGACCAGAAGAGACCACCGCAGACCACAGAGATAGAGCGAGACAGGTGCAATGGACCTGGCTTATTCCGCCTCCGGCTATCGCCGCCCCTTTCACTCCCCCGCATTTGGATTTGGTTGACGACAGCGGCGCTTTCATTTTTGGACTGCGTCCATTGTCCAGATGGGATGGTGGGATCCGAAACCGAGTCGAATCCGAAGAATCCGTGGAAACGGGGCTAAGAGTGGGGCTTGTCTGACCAAAACTAGAACCGTGGTATTTTAATGGCAATGGAGATCGCCTGCCAGCAACACTTTTACTCATTACGCTCTCGGTTTTAATGTCATGGATCTGGGCAGAAGAAGTTTCACTGGTTAATTTGCATCATTATTTTCTGGGCGTCCAAGTACGGTTACCTTTTGGCGCTACATTAGAGCCCACAATTAGCACAAATGTACGACAATATTCTTGAGACAATCAGAAGTCGGACAAAGATGTTGGAAATATTTGACCCAGAACGCCGTTGTTCGCAGTTAACAGTTTATAACTCCGCTTTGCAAATAGTTATAGGCACCTAAAGACCAACAGCATGAATATCCGAATACGAGACGCACGACTGAGAATGAGGTAGAACCTGTAGGGCATACCCGAAGTCAGACGGCCGCAACCCATAAAAAATCAAAGTATGAATATATTTAGCCTACTTTTTATAAAATTTTTATTTCGCTTTTGCCCACGGCATGCTCGGCACTCGAGCATTTAGGCGACGCTTTTGGGATCCGCTTTGAATCATCGCTACAGGGAAAGAAAATTCAGGTTCTTAAGATCGATTTGATAGTTTACATTTCAAAATGAACCCAAGTCACTGAAAGACTGAATTACTCGATCAAAATTAATCATAAAACAAGCGATATTATCACTGATCAATATTTTCTCACTTAATATTTACTAAAATTGATTTAATTTATCCCTGTCTTCAAATTTCAAAGCAGAGAAAAAAAAAATTCAGGGTTTTAAGATCGATTTCATATTTTTTTCATTTCAAAATGAACCCAACTCATTGGCAGAATGAATCACAGATCGAAGGAAATCATAAAACAAACGATATTATCACTGATCAATATTTTCTCACTTAATATTTTCCTCTAAATGATTAAATTTTTCCCTGTGTGGATTAAGATGTTCAAATTTCAAAGCAGAGAAACCAGGCAAACGAATCGAATTGCCGAAAGAAATCCAATACCCCATTCAAGGGAAATCGTTGACTAAGCGATTTGATCGTGGGCGTGTTTTTGCTTTCTCGCTGGCCGCTCGATTAACATTTTCAAGATCCCGAAGTCGGTCAAGTTCACAGAGGTTTCTTTCGGGTACCTAAGGGTTCTGAGCCCTCTAGAATTCAAGGGCTAGCAACCTTTAAAAGTAGTAGTAAAAAAGAGTCCGGTAATTCCCACAGGAATGCAGCTGTGCCCAATCGCAGGGTCAGATCTCCTGCCGCATTCCTCGACCTCCTGACAGAGCCATATATCACTTGTAACTCTCTAAGCCGCACAATACGGCTTTTCGCCAATTCGAGTGCCAGGGCCTAGACGTGTGGCGAATACCGAATATATATATGTATATATACATAGAGGGAACGCAGCCTAGTAAAAGTTATTTGGCCGCGGTAAATTCATTAAAAATTCGTCAAGACCGGGCAAAAAGAAAGTCCAAGAAAGGTGCTAATTCATGCCATCGGCCGATCGGGCCAGTGAAATGGGTCGAAGTGGGCGAGGAGAGCTCCCATCCCAAACTACCCATCGGAACCCATTGGAACCCAACCCATATGCCATTATTCCACGCCAGGCACTTAGTGGACCACCGAAGGTGTTGCCCGTCGAATGTTGCTGCATGGAGCTGCATGTATAGCCATATTATATGTGTTCTTTATGCCATACTGGTTTCCAAAAGGAAGACGACGGAACCGAGAGAACAATGCCAAGTTCAGGCAAAATACAAAAACAAAAAATATAGGTAGGTATAAAAAAAGACGTGTAAAGCGAAGAGAAGTGTAAGAGATCTTGCAGCAGCTGCCTCTCCTTCTTGTGGGCGCTACGGCTTTAGTGTCTTTATTTTTTGTGCTTATTGGGGTCACTTACTTTGACAGAACTTCTACTTAGGCACCGGTATTCCATTTTGTAGCTGCGTGTGTTGGCTGGCTGGATGGTTGATTGCTGGCTGTTATTGGCTGTACTTGTGTACTTGGGGCACTTGAGGTGTTCTATTCTGCCTCGAATGTCTTCTGTCTGCGACTTGTCCGATTCGAATTGGCTTTTCACTACACTTCACGAAACTATGGATATCACACTAAGCCGCTGATTTCACTGGAAGCCCCTTTTGCAGCTCTTTCTTGGAGATGAGATGGTAACGCGCGTCTGACAACCGAACAACTCGAGCGCTCAACCTGAACTGACGGACCAGGTAACGTTTACCATTCCTTAAGCACTTGGTGTGTCGCTGCTGCTAATGGGATCTTCGGCAATATCGCACTCGTAACCTGTTGCTGTCGTGCCAAGTGTTGCTGCTGCTGCAGATGTTGCCGCTGCTGCTGCCGTCGATGTTGCTGCTGCAGATTGGGTTGCCCGCTGGCATTGTGGGTGCCGATTTGGATACATGTGAATGCTCCGCAAGAAACAGTCGATGCAAAAGCAAGCCAGGAACATCAGGCAGTAGCACAGGCACACGAACAGCACAAATCCGACCAAAACTGACAGGATTACAGTCCATAGAAAACTCATTCCGGGCTACATTGATTACAAGAAATTTCACTTTGACAAGTGCTGAAAGATCATCGCCCAGCCGAACCCAGTAAATTGCATTCCAAATGGATGATTAATATAATTGTTATACTGATAATTTAATGCGTTACCTGTCTAAATGTAATATTTCTCGTCAACACCTTGTCAATATATTTTAAATCTCTTAGAATTCCTATGGAAAATAATATTTACATGTTTTTAAAAGATTATATTAAGTGTTGTCCTATTATTTTAAAATATTTTTATATTTATTTATAAATTTTCATATTCAAAACAGTCAGCAAAGAGATATTAAGAGGCTTTATTATCCCAAAATATAAAAATGGGAATGTTCTATACATCGGTGATTTTGGGTTGAGCTGCTTGTGCTTCTGGACATCTTGGCTCTATTGTATCATCTATGCTTATCGCTGCACACTGTTCCACTGCGCTGCAGGTCGGTTCCGCTAGTTGTTGAGGAGACTTCTCCGCCACATGAGGTATCAGGTGAAATGCTTTCGCTACTGTTTTACCGCACCCACAGCAATTCCCACAGCATCCGCAACAACAACAAATGACGCAAAGAACGATAGAGATTGCAACTATTATTATGATTACAATCAGTACAATCAATCCTGTAGACATTTTGTGGGTAAAATTTTAAAAATTTCGATGAAAATTTTGAAGCCTTATTTTTATAAAAGCTGAAAGCTGAAAGTATTTCTAGTTTGACATCTTATTCGTGACAGTAATTTGATTATTTTTTTAATATATGAATACAAGAATGTATGTATAATTTCAAACTTTTAGTGGAAGGGTTCTAAGCAAAAATGGAAAATCGTAGATCCATAATTTTAATAGGTTTTATAGTAATTGTCTTTTTTGCCTTGGTAAAAAAAAATCCTAATTTAAGCCAAGCCAAGATGTGAAATCTTAAAACTATTAATTTTTAATTTAATATGCGTTTTCGTTTATTGATTCCTAGACCTTTTCTTCGATTTTTTAAAGAAGTGAAGATTTTAGTTGTCGTCTTTAAAATTATTTGCAAAGTAACAGAATAAAGAATATCAAGGAGGCTGCTATTTTAGTGTCTCCAAAATATGATACACACACCAAAACTTTGGGTTAGACTGCATCTGGGACTAATTCAACCCCTCGCACCATTCTATCATCTATGTTTTCCACTGTAGGCTGTGCTAGTAGGCGGTATGATGTCCTTTCCACTATTTGTCGAGGCTGCTGTTGAGGACCTTCTTCCGGCAAGCGAGGTTGAAGATTAAGAGCCCGCAAAATTATCGCACAGCATCCGCAACAGATAAAGCAAATGCAAATACCACAACAACAAACCACCCAGGTAACTATCAAGATCGGAAACAAAATCAGTCCTAAGCCTCTAAACATTTTTTCAAGTTTTATTTAGTGGGTTGAATCTCGACAAAAACAGTAGGAATTTAGAAGACCTTTATAAGGATAAAGATTATATTTAAAGATTGATATTTACAATACATAAATTTATGTTAGTGGTCTCACACAAGCTTAGAACTTGCCTCAATTAATAAGACAACGAAAGGAGAACCTTGCAAAAAATATGGAAATTGCCATTTCGTAATTTTTGATTTATTTGATTAATAAGAACAAAAAAGACACTCAAAATTAATTGTACTTTAACACATTTTAAATTTTACGTTCATAAGATATGATTTTAGTAGCCTTCTTCGTCGTGACAGCTGAAACAGCAGCAATATCCCAGCGGCGAACAGGCGAATGGGGTCTGGAGAAAAAATGCATTACATGTAAAGAAAATGTAACCGATTACTATCGCTGCTTTTCGTTAGAGAAGTTGTAATCAGGGCTCCTATGACTTCGTTTTTTCGTTCGCTAACGATTTCCCTTCGTCAAAAATCACAAACACACATAAAAATTATTGTCTATGTGTTCGTTTTTCGTTTCCCCTCCCTCACGTTTGAGCTTCGGAACTTTAATAATAACAGCATGCATTCTAAATATAGTTTGACGAACTAAAAAAAGCACAGACAATGGCCGAGCGGTTAGCCTTTCCATCCATTATACAATAATACCCATGTTCAATTCCTACATGAGGAAAGAATATTTTTTGTTTTCATAAATGAATATGCATTACAACTCAGCATACGTTTTTCAAATTGTATGTTGAATTTTCTCTAGTCCGTCTACATTTTGCATTACAATTTCGGAAAAGTATATTGAATTCGTAATGGAGACCCGAAGGTGATTCGGCCCTAGCATACTTTTCCCATTACTAGTAATGCAAATTGTCTCCCGACCACATTACAAGGCGGCCATGCCTATGGCAAAGTAATCCATGTTGTAATCCATTGTTTCTCTATTACGAGAGGAGAAGTAATGCATTCGTAATCCATTTTGTAATGGCAATTTTCGCCGCTGGGATCCAATACAAAAGAGAAAACCAATGATCATCAGCAACAGCCCACAAAAACCAACCAAAGTTAGTCCAGGACCAATTTGCCTAAAAGGATCTTGGTGGATGTTGTGCCCGCTGAGAGTCATTTTTGTAATAACTTTCCTTGGGTAAAGGGGATTTGCATGACAGATAAGTCGAAAATAACTTGTTTATAAGGGATTTTTTGTTTTTTAGTTTTATTTACATTATTTTCGGATCGGAAAATTGTTGTAATCTATAATAACGATGGGAAAAACTCAGCTTGACGTATATTTACCCGTGTATAATACTGGCGGGAAAAGGTTTCACCTTCAAACGAATCTGAAAGCATTGCAAACTGACTTATCTGAAGGGCCTACCGTTAATTGGTTATCGATTAATGGCATTACGCAATCGCATATTCTGTAAATGCTCCGCTCTTCGCTGCTCCTCTTTCTCCGTGTCTGGGCAATTAAAAGGCGCTTTTCATTTTCTTTTGGGAAAGTTATCAAGCTATATTAGTTTCAATTCGCCTCGGTTATTATCGAAAAATGAAGAAAACGCCGAAAGGCCACAAAAACTTTCATAGTGGTTGTAACTTTTTCCCCCCGTCCGGGCGACATTTGAAGTCAATTGTCGTCGCGTCGTGCAGAAAAAGTGCTCGACTGGTGTATAAATAAAATAAAATTAATGTAACAATTGAAACAAACGCAGTGCCACAATGAAGCGAAAGAAACATTGTCCGAAATGAAACATGAGAGTAAAACCCCTGCCGCTGCCCCTCCACCTTCCAGTAACCACATTTCTTTCCCAATGACACGACACGCATGCGCAGTGTCAACGCAACTTTTGAGCGAAAGTGACTCTGAACGAGTTCCAATTGTGCACGGCCGACGCTCCAAACGCCTTTATCAGGGGCCAACAATTAACTGGCCTGCCGTAATAGTTGCCAAAATAAACTAAAACGAAACGGCTGGAAATTTTATTTTCTAAAAGGTTGCAAGCTTTATTCGTTTAGACTCCAGACTCAACTTTTCCATGGTTAATAACTCTATAATAAACGAGAACGAAAGGTAATCATTACATATTTCACGAATTAAAGAGGTGGCTAGAATAGTATAAATAGAAAATATGAAATAATAACCAACGTATTATAAGGAAATATATAGAAAAACGTCAATTTTTGGACATACTTTACTCTAAGATAATCATAAAAAAAAATAAGATTAGCTTTAACACTACACTAAATATCTTTAAAAACAGCCTAACTTTGAAAACATTATCTAATCGTTCCTAAGAAAGCTATGAAATTCATAGTATCAGTAGACCTGATAACTGGTCACAGGATCATCATAAAATTCTAAAGTAAATTTGGTATGTTAGTGTACTTCAAACAACAAAGTGGTTTAAAATTAAGGAGAGGAATTGACAAACAAACTGACTTTTTGGGAATAATTACAAAAAAACTAATTTTCGAATAATATTTTCGTGTTTTATTATTTTAAAAATTATTCAAAATTAAAATATTAAATAATCTGATCAAGTCGTCGTCGCAAGAAAAACGCCCTGAAGAACAGAACTCTTAAAGACTGTATCCTTTAACTTCTTTACCATGACAATTTGTTTTGATTTCATAACTCACCATCCGAAATCCTTATCACAAGTATCCACCACAAACCAGAATTACTCACAAGTCCTCGCAGTTCTATATGATGTTACAGATTTCGGCTTGATCTGCGGATTAAGTCGAATGGCCGTTTGGTTTTTCGTTTATTGTTCAGAGAGTGTTTACACGCTTATGGTTTTTTGTTGTAGTATACAATAGACACTTAACGATTTCCATGTAATGTAGTCATTTAGTTAAATGTAATGTAGCAAATTGTTAGGTGTCCTCTTGAGTTGCGATTGCATCATTAATATATAACTTGATTTTGTTTTTGGCGCGCTAAACGTAAAGCTTAAAATTTAATCATGTTTGTTGATTGTTCGCGTAAACAATGAACCTTAAATGAAATACTTAAAAAAAGATCGCATGAAACAATGTGTGTTTTCTTCTGTTTGTGTGGGGTGTGTGTGCTTGTGTGTGTGTGAGAGCGTTGGTCGCATTTGGCAGCTTGATGAGATCGCAGGATGGGAATCAGGACCTCTTGCTCCTCCAGCTGCTCGTCACGATGCCAACTCCAGCTCAACGGCAGCCAAATTAGGAAACGATAAACAAACTGGAAAAATAGAATACACTTTTAATAATTATTTCGGAAGATCTATCAATCTAAAAGCAGTCCAATATTAACATTTAAATGGTAACTCGAACAACCAGTTATCTTAAAATGAGCTAAGGAAAATAAATTCTAATTTATCTTCTTTATATAGATTAATATATGTATGTACATAACAAAATATAATGAAAGGAATGTTTATAATAGCGTTACACACTGCTTGTCAAATTTATAAAACTCTTTTGTAGGCTATAAAGATATCAACTTGTGAGTCACAAAAATCACAAATGGTTTACTGAAAGCTTTATGACGAATAAGACGTCACATGCTTTAGAGATTAAAGTACTGGAACCGCATTTTAAGTGTTTTAGTTTCTGTTTTTAAATATATTTTTCAAGTTATATCTATGTTATAAATGAATAGTCTGAAAATCAGTCAGATTCGTACTCTCCTTTTTCCTTAACTCATTTTAATTATAAGATAACTTCTTGTATCCCTGAATTTCTTACTCACTTTTTTCTCAACTCATCGAACGCAATTTGGACCCGCCTGCGGATGGGTTCCCTTGGCGTCCAGCGTCCAGCAAGCGTCCCCGTCTACTTGTTGTTGATGGACAGCCGCTCGACGCTGGCGAGCAGCTCGTCCGCGGTCTGCGACACGACCTGCTCCTGGTCGTCGCTGGTGCTCAGGTTCTGCAGGCGCTTCTCCAGCGCCGAGAGATCCTCCAGCTCGCGCTGCTGCTTCACCATGTAGCGCAAGATCAGCGTGGTCAGCATGCACATGTCCTCCAGGATCTTGGCCGTTTCCGGCGTGGGATGATCGTAGCGATTGCGCAGCAGCCGCAGCTTGGCCTCGGCCAACTCCAGCGGTGACTTGTTGCTGCGATCGTACATGTGGACACTGGCGCCGCCCTGCAGCAGCACGCCGACCACAATGTTAAAGTTATTGGAGCTGGCCGAGATCACAGCCAAATGGAGGGGAGTATTCCCCAGCGAGTCCACGACATTCGGATTGGCGCCGTACTTGAGCAGCTGCTGGACAATGGGTATGTAGCCGCGACAGGCGGCCAGATGCAGCGGACTGCGATTGTACTCGTCGGCGGCATTGGGATTAGCTCCGCCCTCCAAAATGCGGTTGAGCAGCTCGATGTTGCAGGTGGAGGCGGCGGTGCGCAGCTTGCGGCCGTTCGACTGGACGATTATGTTGCTGTAGCTGTAGGAGTGCTTCAGCCGCTGCATCCGCGGCCGCATCTTGAAGCTCTTGCTGCCCGAGGGCAAAGTGCTCGGATGGATCAGGCTGGGCAGATACTCGGCATTGGGCGCATTCGGATTCAGCGGCAGGGGCGGCAGGTGCGGCAGGGCGAAGTGCTCGCCCCGGTCTCTGCTCAGCTGGAATGATGCATTTGCATTCGCTGCAGCGCTGGGATTCGAACTCAGGTTCAGGTTAAGGTTCAGGTTGAGGTTGATGTTCATGTGCGGCCACTCGCCGTGCGTGTTGGGCGACGAGGTGGGCGTGGGCGGCATCGCCGGCGGCGGCGGCGTTATCATAATGCCCTTGGACGCGCTGGACGCTGGCGTGGGCATGGGCATGGGGGTCGATCTGGCCAGGATCGGCGGCATCGACATCTCCAGCATCTCCTCCTTGGCCTCCACGCCGGAGGTGGATGCGGAATCGCTGTTGGTGGCCGCGGCCATTTGTCGCTCGGTTTACTCGGATTGCCTGCGCCTCGTCGTTGCCCGCGATGCAGTGCGTCTGTCGTCCTGGTTCCGGTGTTCCGGTGTGCGGTCCTTTTCGGCGAAAAAACTCTTCCCAGGCACGCGCTGCTTATTTTCCTGTCTGTATTGTTTGTTTATTTTTGCTTAGTTTCTGGCCTGCTCTGGTCACTCTGTTGTGGTGTATTTTTAAGTATTTTATAGTATCTACCGTATATATCGTGTTGTTTTCAGATGACGCCAATTGTTCAATCGACCCGCTAGATGGCGCGTAAAATACACGTTTATTTTACATTTTCAAGGCGCTATCTACATTAAGGCTGGGTAAAAAACTGAAAAGCCCTTTTTATCGATGGTCAGTGGTGGGAAAGGTACCGCTTTTATGTACCTAGCTAAGGTACTTGAGATATTTTAGTAAATTTAAAAAGATTTCACATTTTAGTTAATCTAAAGTTATTTTATATGTTTTACAATTCTCTGCTGATTAAATAATATAATTTTTATATTGTAAATTTCTTATATATGTATTTTCAATGACAATCTCGGGCTGTATGTAAACTGTAAATCTGTAAACTGTATGTCAGATTTAGAAAACTTTAAATAATATGATATAGCTAAGGTACTTAAATATTTAAATTAATTTAAAAGGATTTTTCATATTAATTTTTAGTAGTTTTGTAAGTGTTAAAATTCTCTGCCGTCTTTGTGACTTGATTAAAGAATATATTTTGTATTTTGTAAATAATATCTTATATTTTATGTTCAATGATTATCTTGGGTTAAACTAAATGTCAGGAAAAAGTTTAAATAACTTGATATAAAAAGCAATTAGTTTTAAATTAGCTAGTATCAATTAAACCAATTAAATCATTTTTGTAACATTCCAAAGCAACCCGTCAACTCAATTCGAATCAATTAAAAAACCCGTTTAAACACTTAAAAAGTTTTATTCAAAAATTCGTGCTCGACTACATACATATATATTCATTTTCTAACAAAGCGGCACGGAATGTTTGTTATCCATTTATACGATTCAACTCGCAATTCAATTGGAGGGTTACATAAAATACATGGGCATTGATAATACAAAAAGTACGCGAATTTCAAAATAATGTGATAGGATGGTACCTTCTTTAATATAATAACACAACATGCAAAGCGTAATTCGTTTGGTAATCCTGGAGATAAAGCCTCGGAAGTGGGGAGAATCAAAGAACGCTTAGGGAAACGCAATTTTCCAGTTGGGGCGTACAAAACACAGACTATTTTTTCAGGCTGGGTGGTGGGTGGATTTCGGTGTTTTGAGTGGGGCTGATTTAGACCGCAGAAAAGGTGCTTAACGAAAATGAACGGGGCGAAACGAATCTAAAGTACACACAGACAAGAGTCGAAAGGATCCCTCTGAGATAAAAGAGATCTCTACAGCAAATGCGGTCTAAATCCGTCTTGCATGCTATTTCAGGAAGTTGATCGTCTCGATTATCTTGTTCCGATTGGCGTGCATATAAGCCTTGGTGTGCCACAGCATGTTGATTAGCTTCTGGTCATCCTTTTCGTCCATGGCGATGTCCTCGCTCAGCTGTGGATTGAACCTAAAGTAGGGTATGCCAATGGTGCTGCACCAGGCGCGAGCTCTGTCCACCACTCTTCCATCAGAGCAGGTGGCCTGATCCACCAGCAAATTACCTGGGAAACACAAACATTTCAATTAAAGAAAACCCTCTAAATCCACTTTAAAATTCTCACCAATGGTGGAGATGCCGTAGGCCAGTTTGGCCGTATCCCAGATGCTTTCCGGTCGGAAGACATCGATGTCCTTGAGCTCGGTCACCGGAATGTGTCCCGTGCCCAGCGACATCACCACGGATACGGGAATGGCCTCCGACTCGCGACCAGCACTGCGCAAAGCCATATTGTACTCGTGGATCTCGGTCATGGCATCCAATGTGGGGTTGTTGGCTATCAAACCGCCATCCAGAAAGCGACCAAATGCGCGGAAATACGAAGGCGCAGCTCCAGTGGCGCGGGCAGCACGCCAGACCAATTGCTCACTTGGCGGCGGCGGAGGAATCCGACGATTGTCTAAAGAAAATAGGGAAATTATATCGAATCTTTCTATATTCATACTAGAGCCCTGCATGAATCATTCAATTTTTGTTTTATCATAGTATGCCATGAAATTATTGATCTGTTTAATTCAATTCTATGTGAAATAAATTAAATGTTTTTCTAATTCATTTCGAATTGAAAGAATCAATGAATAATTTTTATGATTTTTTTGAATTTGTGCTTTCTTTTGAGAACAAAAAATGGAAAATTTTTAATAAATCAATGTTATCTGCATAGTAAATAAAATTCAGGCAGATTTAATTACTAAATTATGGCCCTTTCTTCTTCAAAGGAAATTGTCTTTTAAATTATTTCGGAATTCATGCCATTCATTCATTCAATTCTATTAAACTTAAAATTCATATAAAACAAAAAAAATAAAAATAATTCATTGATCCATTCATGCACGGCTCTAAATTATACTCATATCTCTTACTTATGGAAGTCACAATGCCCAGAATGTCACTGGCACTCGTGTAGTTGCGGAACAGATGCAGATCGACAGGCTTGCGATCCGCCATCACACCGGTGACCATGATCTTTGGGTGCTTAATGTCCGTCATCACGTTGAACTCTCCCAGTTGGTCCTTTAAAATGGACTCGAAAAAGTCGCTGTTGTAGGGCCGCGAACCCACGAAGCACTGCTCCTTCATGCGTAGATATAGCCCCATGCACTGGCGCATCGTTTTGCCGCAGCCTAATGCCAATGCCAGAATTCCACCCGTGCTGGTGCCGGCAATCCAGTCGAACATGTGGATGATGGGAGTGCGCGAAAGCTTCTCGATTTCGAGCAGCATTTGTACCAGGACCAGACCGCGAATGCCGCCGCCATCCAGGCAGAGGAGTCGTCCACGACCGTATGGTTTATCGCCTATTTCCGCTGCAATGGGCGAAGTGGGCGATGGCAGCTGCTCCGGACTAATTGAAGCAGGCGTTGCCGAACCACTGGCCAAACTGCCCGAAGAGGTGTCCTTCTTCATCTCATCCGCATTTACTTTGGTGGTGAACATGCCCAGCAGGGCATCCATTATGCTCTGGCCCTTCAATTCCTTCTCCGTGTCGACCACAACTGGTTTTCTGGAATAAAAATCAAATTTATTTATGTGTAAGTTTCGGAATTTGACACAAATGTTAAAAACATGTAAAACTGTATTTTACAGTGTGAGCAAAGTTTTTGACATGTGTGTCAAAAACAAAAGTGTTAGAATATGAAAAATAATTGTTAGCACGCACAGCTCACTTGTGTTTTTTTGCCAATGTGTTATTAACACGGCGTGTTTTTTACACAAATGAAAATTACATTTTATGGACATTGACGAATCGAAGGAAAAATGAATAATTAATATTGTTATTGTTATTTTTAACCGTTTCAAAGAAAATATGAATGTTTTCAACTACAGAAAACCGTGAATTTTTTAGTTCAACATATATTTCTGACGATTTAATGTCAAAAACTCATTGTGTTAAAAACACGTTGTGTAAAAAACACGTCGTGTAAATAACACAAATAAACTGTGTGTGTTATTTATGTTTCTAACAGAGTGTGCTATTTCCCGAGCCCTGCTTTTAAGTTATTTCTTACTGTGCTGGTGGCGGTTTCTCCAGTAATCCATTCGCAGCTGCTCCCAGGAAACCGCCCATCACTTGGCGACTGGTGCTGGCCAGCATGTTTTCAATATGCTCGCGCTGTTCCACGGATTCTGGGGCCTCTGGCGGTATGCCATTGTAGTTGCCCTTGGCATTGCATCCCGGCGGGCACTTTGAGCCACCTTCCTTGCAGCGCTTCGCACCCACCGAGTGCAGGATGTACAGTATTTCGTCCTCCTTGTTGCCACTGGCATCGTTTCCCACCATGTGACGCGGGCTCTTGCCATCCTTGTTCTTCAGGTTGATGTCACACCCGAAGACCACCAGGCACTGGACAATCGGCACCAGTTTCTTCTCAATAGCGATATGCAGAGCGGCGTTGCCCTCCTTGTCCAGCACATCAATATCGGCATCGTGGGCCAGCAGAGTGACGACGCACTCGAATCGATTCCTGGCCACCATCACGTGCAAAGCGGTGCGTCCTTCAAAGTTGGTAGAGTTCACATCGCAGCCCTCCATGATGAGGGCGTGCAGGGTTTCCCTAGAGGAACACCAGTGCAAAGGAGTGCCGCCATGTTTCATATCCTGGGTATACAGCTTGCTTATGTTGGTGCGCAGAAACGAGGAGACCGAAGTGGGTGCCGCTGTCTTGTACAGCTTGCTGATGTTCTTGGCATTCTGATTGACATCGGCGCCAGCCAAAAGCAGAGCCTTCACGTTCTCCGGCTTGTCTGCCAGGCAGGCGATGTGCAGAGGTGTGTAGCCATCCGAGTTAAGGTGATTCAGATTCACTGTGCTTTTGTCCGTGATGAGCTGCGAATATATAGTTTAAAATTATAGTTGAATTGTATATAGATTAGAGCCCTGCGTGAATCATTAAATTTTTGTTTTATCATAGTATGGCATGAAATTTATGATTTGTTTAATTCAATTCTATGTGAAATAAATTGAATGTTCTTATAATTTATTTAAAATTGAATGAATGAATGAATAATTTTTATAAATTTTTTGAATTTGCCAGATTTTTGTTGTGCTTTCTTTTAAGAAAAAGAATTGGAAAATTATTAACAAATCAACGTTAACTGCATAGTAAATAAAATTCAGGCAGATTTAATCACAAAATTATGGCCCTTTCATCTTCTAAAGAAATTGTCGTTTGAATTATTTCAAACTAAAAATTCAAATTCATTCAATTCTATTAAATTCTCATCAATTCTAATTAATTCATTTATATAAAACAAAAAATTCAAAATAATTCATTGAATCCATTCATGCAGGGCTCTAATATAGATTAGCTACCCACATTGATAATTTCCTTGGTGGTGCTGGCGGCATAGTGAAACACCGAATTGCTGTTGATATCCAAGTGCTCCAGCTTGCTCAGCGGCAGCAGCATCTTGACCATCTCTATGTGGCCCTGTTTGATGGCCAGCTGGAAGGGCGACATCAGCGATGTGGGATCCGCATAGTCCACGCACTGCAGCATCTTGGGATTGCTGATATAATCCACCAGATTGAAGTAGGCAATCATGTGGGACAGCGTCCACGAGGGATTCTCGGCCAGAGCATCGCAGGCCTTTTGCAAGCCATTCACATTGTAGTACTGCAATTATTCTTAGGTTAATAGTATTCCTATTTCCCCCTAATCTCCCCTAGAACCTCTTTCACAATGCTGACAAAGACGGGCAGCCTCTGGAGGAAGGCATTGAACCGCTCCTCGGCTTCCTGCTGCACTGGCGAGCGGTACAAACTGAAGGATGTGGTATTCGAGTCCGAGGTGGGTCGCTGCAGGATGATCTCATAGACGGCACGCTTGTCCTGGCTATTAAAGGGCGGTGCAAAGAGGACCATGGCATCGTCGCGTGCCATCACTTGCAGGGTTCCCAGCGACTCGCTCTTGATCTCCAAGACCTTGTTGGCCGGCTGATCGCCACCCAACAAGCGCTGCAGAACTGTAAGAACACATAGTCATTAGATAAGAGGTCTTAAGAAGGCTTATTCACGGGACAATCACACAATCAGCTAGTCTACTAAACGGCAAAACGACATGGAAACAAGGAGGGGTAATGATTGAAGGGAGTACCGAAACCGGAGGCCAGGGCTCCAAAGGAAATCCACGACATGATTCAGGGGCGCGGAATGGATGCGGCTGCGGATGCTGAACTTGAACTTTGATCGGCTAATCGGATGAGCTGGCTAATGCGAATGCGAATGCGGTGAACCTGACAGAGAAATAATGGCCAGTTTGTTAGTTACATGGGGATGTGTGTGGGTAAATTTGCGGCTGCCGCTGCCAAGAATCAATAGTACACATCTCTGGCCAATGGCAAGTGAACAGATCACCCCATTTTCCGTGCTTTCCCGCTTTCGAGCTGACGAGGCTAATCAATAAAATGAGTGTCGCAGGAATGTTGATTGTTCTGTGGGTCAGTTACTCAAGTTTATGGCGTGAAAAAATGATGCGTAATTTTCCAGACCACCAGTGCCAACACATATTCTGTGCCTTAATCGGTAAACCCTTTTATTAGCTGACCGTTGAACATTTTACTGCTCCGATTTTAGGTTTCCTTAGCGCACAATTCCAGTTATTTTCACTTTGAAATTTTTGCAACGGAAAATACAACGAGCTGTTTTTTTGCAGCTTTTTTATTAGTGGTGGTGATTTTTGACAGTGACGGTAAATGCGAAGTGCGATAGTTCCGAAGAGTGTCTCCGCTAGGGGAGGAGTGTGCATCGACTAAAACAGAAGGGTATTCCCTAAACTGTTTAATTACTAAAGTTGACAGCAATTGAGGGCAGCTGTTATGTGTATAAAATTATTAATAAGGTAAAATAAACTTGAAAAATATTTCCCAATTCGATTTTAAAAATAAACTTTTCGTTCTGCTTATACAAAAACCTTACAACGATTAAGCAAAACATTCGTTAGTTTGCTTAACAGTTTAGGGAAACTCCTAAAAATGTATAAGAATGGACAAGCCGCGAAATTAACAAATACATTAAAATTGTTGGAATTATGATTTGGAATTGTCCGCTACGATTGCACAATTAACAGTGTACAATAAATAGAGTTAAAATGAAAATTGCATAGCTCTCCACAGTCGTTCTAACATTTCTGTTAAGAAATGGCAGCTGCTAAGCACACCGATGTTTCCAAAAGTTTTAGACGATAGATTATCCCACCCCTAACCGATGACCGTCTCTAGCCGATGAGTCCACCTCTAATCGCCATTGCTGCCAGACGAAATTTTTTCGAGCAAAAAAAGTCTCTGGTGAAAATCGTGAAAAACTAAGAAGAAACGTGCAGTTTCAGGTGGAAAATAGACTTTAAATTAGCGCTTACTTCTGTGAGTCAGTGAAAAGTGTTAGTGCAGAGGTAAGTGCAGTAAATGGAGGTGAAAAAGCATGCGAAAGAAATGCTGGGGCCGGCGGAATATTGATTTTTTCCCATCGGCTAGAGACGCCACCGGCGGCAGCGCGATAAGAACCCGTGAAAAGGAAAAGAAAAGGGGGTGCTGCGCTGGACGGCCTGCGTTTTTTCGCGCACACACGCATGCATATATACCCATTGTCAGGCGAATCCAATTCTCTAATCTTTTTCTGGCATCTTGGCTACCATTTCAAGCAGAACTAATTGAAGAAAAGGCAAGATGCGCGGACGCGGCGGTTTCATTCCACGTGGTGGTGGCACCACTCGCGGCGGCTACTACAACAATCGCAACTCGAGCAACTATGTGAATACCCGAACCCAGGGCAATTACCGCCCCAATAATGGGCGGTATGAGAACAACTACCACAACAACAACAATCGCTACAACAACAACAACAGCGGCGGCGGAGGAGGAAATAGCCACTATGACAATCGGAGCCGGGACAAGTTCAACCACCACAATTCGAGCAGCAACCGCTACGAGTCCAGCTCCTCGGGCCACAAGCGCAGCTACGTAAGTTGGAAAGAGCTATAATAGACCACTATACAATACTATACTATACAATGCCTAAAAGATACTATACATACATCACTCAAATTCAATAGCATATGTATCCAGTTAAAAAAGGGATTCCTATAAGATTTGGAACCACAAATTTGGTAGAAAACCTCTTCAATTATTCAAATATTTCCTTTTTAAAGAAATTATAAAATATTCGTCATAACTTTTTATCAGATCTAAATATTTTTTAAAGAAATGTATGACATTTTCATCATTGCTCACAAAGAAAAATTTTCATATTGAAGTACCATATTGAGTAGTCCAAAACTTTTCACATTTTGTTATGGAAAAATATTAGATAAGTTATCCAATAAAAATCTCCATATTGTTCTGCCCTTTTCATCAATGTAGTAATCCAGAACATCTCTAAAACTTGAATCAAAAAACTATAAACAAAGAGTCTCGGAATATTACTGCTCTTTTTAACATATCGAGACTAATTCCCACAAAGAACGTAATTTACAACTCTTTGAATAAAAAAAGAATAGTGCACCTATAATAGATTACCCGTATATCTTATCGTAATTGGTACACAATACCGTAACTCGTATACTTTTGATCTTTGGCTTTGTATTAGATAAATATTAGCCCTTAAAGATTTTCCATGGTGTAAATAAAAGATATCTAACAGAAAACAAGATTAATCTTTTCTGACGCATTTCCTTAGTTCCTCGTAGTCTTTAAAGTGCAAATATTTATGCTGCGTTTAAGCCACTCGCCAGAAAGCAAAACAAAATTAATCACAAACTTTATTTGTATTGGATTTAACCTTAAAAACCCTCATTCTATAAACAGTTCTTTGCTTATTAACAGCACACTTGCTTTCGTGGAAAATATAGGATTATAGTATATAGCTGGGGTAAAAATAATATTCCACAATTATTCACTTTTTAAATAGAATAACATAATATATCTTGCTGCTTACAAAGTACACTGGATAATGTGAATTTTAAATACATATTTATTTGGAATTTATATAAATCTTTATTAAACAAAAGAAACATAATAATAACCAAAAGATTCAAATCGGGATTAACAATTTTTTTGATAAAATCATTTTAAATTCAATCCCATTGTTCTGACCGCAATTGTAAGATAGACAAATTACCTGTCTAAACACTTTCATGTGAAGATTATGAGTAATAATAGTGTCACTGCAGCAAAAGATAAAGTGAGATTTAATTTTATGTCTGTTGGTTTAGAAGAAAATGAGTGATGTATGTGTTACCCAAAATCCATTTATTTATATATATTCATTATGAAATCTATTTTTATCTGATTTATGTCTAGGACTCATCTCGCGATCGCAGCGATGACCGCAAACGCCCGCGCCAAGACGTAAGTTATACTTTGCCCCAATTCCAATTTTAATAGCACGCCATTCCGAAGGTCTATATATTAATTATGCATTAAGCCAATCGCCAATGAACTGTGTAATGTTAATGACTTTCCCAATATTTATAGCACTGTTTGTGAAGCTTAAACGCTGGACTGAGTTGAGCCTATCGAGCGTTAGAGCATAACATGTCCCAAAAGAGCAAACAGCGCGCGCGGACTCAAAGTTGCCAGACAAGCACTTTGGAGCACCGTCTTCTGACCATATAAATCTATATAAATCTGTGTGTTGTCCATAGCATCGACTGCGGGGCGGCATCATATAGATAATGACTTTGCAGCGACCGATCGATCGATCTGATCCGATCCGAACTGAACTGAACCACACATATAATGCGAAAGAAATCAAAAACTTCTGTAGAGAACCGTTGAAGCGATTGAAGCGATTTTGATCCGTAATCTCTTGTATATCTTATGTACCATCAGCTGTCAAATTTTTCCCCATACCGAATGTCGAAGGTCGGTTATCAATCCGAGCAGAGAACATAGAAATCTATCAGTGTGTACATCCGCATATGCATTATATAATAATATATCGATCCAAATCTAAGTAGCTAAGCTATAAGCGTATAAGGTTTCTCCATCATGCTACCCATGCTACACACAAAACACGCTGCAGGAAATCAATATATCAAAATAACGGCATATTGCGAACTATATAATATAACCCACAACCAATCCAATCAGATAATCAGATCAGAAATCAGAATCAATATCAGTCTGTAGCTCTATATAGCAATTCTTTTCATTCAACAACTCTATATATGTTTTATATATAAATAGAAATATAAATCTACCACCTATATATATTTCGATATATGATATTTGATACAAAAATCTGAAAATCAACCAAATCAAAACAAAGCTCCTACACACCTTCCTACTCATCAATCGTCAATAGGATTACCGTCGCACGTCTTCGTCGAATGATCGCAGCGATCGACCCTCGTCCTCGTCGCAGAACATTGGCTCCTCGTCGTCGAACTATCATCAGCGCAGCAGCACCGGCGGCGGTGGCAATAACGGCGGCGGCGGCGGGAGCTCGAGCTCCTATCGCCAGCGCGATGATTCCACCAGCGGCGGCAGCCGGCACCAGCAGCGGGACGGATCGATGGGTCCGCCGAAGCGGATGATGCGCAGCGTGGCCGGCACCAACTATATAAGCCGACCCCGCGGCACAATGTCGATGAGGGGCGGCATGATGCGCACTGGGATGCGGGTGGGAGCCATGCGCGTTGTGCGCACTCGCCCCAACGAGTCGAATGACCTCCGCACCATGCGCCGCCAGTTGCTCTATGCACAGCAGAAAGATCGGGCCCGCCTGCTCAAGATTCAGCAGCTGAAAAGGTAAATAGACCAAAAAAAAAAAATATAAAAAAACATACAAAAATCCAAAATCAATTGAGGATACACCGAACGAACTATGAAAGCAATCTGTGGTGAGATATATATAATGTGAACTGTGAGATTCAGTAAGATTCAGAATCTAAGATCTACAGGAGAGCCCTTGGTGCCAGATATTAACTGAGCGGCCTCCGGAAGAACTCCATTCTCCATAGCTCCAAGTATATAATCCGTGTGTGTATATTGTTGTGTAACTAAGTAGAACGAAAAGACACCCGACACTCCATGACAAGAACGTATTTTGTTAGTTTACCACCCAGCTTCTTCTTATGTACTAAAAAAAAACACAAAAAATTTGAACTTGCCTCTTCCACCAAACCAAAAACAAACCA